AGCGCCAAGCTTTCTCCTAGCGCACCTCGCATCGTGGCCTACCAGGTTCAACAGTTGGCGGAGAAAAGTTACCGCCTCAATGGCATCAATCAGATAAAAGCATCGCGGCAAAAAAAGGGATGCGGCGCATCACCAGACCGCTTGGCATCCCCGCGATCTTTATCTTTCCAAACCTTTTCGGCCCCGCCTCTGGCACGGATCCGATACGAAGCGCTTTACAAACAAGCAATTGAATTACAATAGTTGAGACCAAATGCTGCGTCCGGGCTGTCAATCAATTGAAGAGGGACGAGCCAGAGGGTTCAGACTTGCGCCGTTTGCAGACAGCATGTGAAGATCAAGTCAAGGTCTCAAAAGGCTGTGCTGCGACAAGACAATACGAGTACTTACGTGTGCTGTAGGCTGTGCTGCAGCACTGTGCATAAGACGAAACCGACATGGAAATTGATACAAGGGGAAAACGGGGTAGCCCTATTTTATTTCGCGATTATTCTGTGCTCTCTTTTCTATTTGGGCCAGGCTTAACTCAACATACTAAACACGATGAAATTTGCTCGACGTTAGCTTATGAGAGGCTCGATTGATGTGACCGTATTCAGCGCCCCCAGCTTACCATTACCCATCCACAACTAAAATTATCCCTACGCGGCACGACCTCTCACAGGGCAGATACTTGCCTGGCACGTCGCGCTCTGTACTTGTACACGGCTAGGGCTGTGGCGATGCACTCTGTTGGCACCCCCGTTTCTCCATAGATGATCTTTTGGCTCTTATCTCTCAAACGTGGGTGGATTGATTCGCCAGGGGGTCTGAGGGATAGTGGCGCCTCCCCCCTGTAGCGCTCCCTCTGCTCTGTGCCAGGGCCCTGCGAAACCCCCTGAAGCATCCAGCCAGACAAGAGCTGATATCGGTTTTTGTACCTGGACCGCGCCGGCTGCCGTGGTTGGACGCCCCGTACCTGTACTTTGCGCCAGCAACGGCGCTCAGCACGCAGGAATTGGGGCCAATTTCCAGGACAAGCGTCGGATTGATTTTAATTGCCTCGATGTGATGTGCCGTTCTGGCTGGCTGTGTTGTGCTCGTAGTGGTATTGGATTTTCTCTCTAGTCCCCTATTTGACGTCCCCCTTCCCTCTCACGACGCCATTATTTTCTGTCTCTTCTCTTTCTTCTTCCCGGGCACACCATCCCTACTTTCGTGCAACTCGTATTTTTTCCCTTCTCTCTTTATATTGACTTCTCCTCGTGTCTTGACCGAAAGCGCCGGTACCTTTAGCTCTCACTGCACTGTTGGCTGCTTGCGCAAGACCATTCTTTTTCCGGGCAGTCCCTGTTTTTCCCTTTCTTGATACGAGCCCTCGCTTTATTGCATATTGGACGCCCCTCACACTCTTTTTTCTTCCCACCTTGGTTTGCGGCCCCCCCTTGTCGCCTTCTTGAGGCTACGTACCCTGCCTGCTAAAAAAAGGACTGCCTGTCTGTCCGTCCGTTCGTTCGTTTGCGCGTCTCCCCTAAACCTCAAAAGCAAACCTGCGAGCATTGCCTTCGCAACCATCTTCATCTTTTGATACACGCTGCGAATTGCATCAGCTGCTGCTGCCATGTCTGCTGAAGAGAAAACCAGAGTCTCGGGCGACATCACTCGCTCCGAGCCAGTCTTGCCCACTGTCAATCCCGCGGCCGACAAGCCCGCTCCCGCAAAGGCTTCTCTACACCCCGTCTTCTACGTTGTGTGAGTTTGGACTGCGTCGAGAGCGAGTATGATGGAATTGTTTTGGCTAATGCGCGCGCAGCACATGGATTGGCTTCAGTTCTTCCGTCATCCTGTTCAACAAATGGCTCCTGGACACGCTCAACTTCCGTATGTTGCTCCCTCTTTGGCCCCAGTTCAATTCGTGATGGCGTGTACTGATGCCCCCGATGCCAGGCTATCCCGTCATTCTCACGACTTACCACCTCACCTTTGCCACCGTCGTTACCCAGGTCATGGCCCGCTGGACGACTATGCTCGATGGCCGAAAGACGGTTAAGATGACGGGCCGCGTATACTTGCGAGCCGTTGTGCCCATTGGTATCTTCTTCAGCTTGAGTTTGATCTGCGGTAACCTGACCTACCTCTACCTCTCGGTCGCCTTCATCCAGATGCTCAAGGCTACCACGCCCGTTGCTGTCCTGATCTCCGGCTGGGCCCTGGGCGTGTCTCAGCCAAACCTGAAGCAATTCCTCAATGTCTCCGCCATCGTTGTCGGTGTCATCATTGCGTCGATGGGCGAAATCCACTTCGTCGTTATTGGTGTCGTCTACCAGATTGCCGGTGTCATCTTTGAGGCTCTCCGACTCACCATGGTCCAGAGACTGCTGAGCTCTGCTGACTTCAAGATGGACCCCCTGGTGTCTCTGTACTACTTCGCTCCCATCTGCGCCGTGATGAACGGTGTGGTTGCTTTGATCTGGGAGGTTCCCAAGGTCTCCATGGTTGAGGTGTACAACGTCGGCTTCTTCACCTTCTTCCTCAACGGCCTTTGCGCTTTCATGCTCAACGTCTCCGTCGTTTTCTTGGTATGTCACTCTTAATCACTCGTCTACACCGCATCGAGGTATTCAACGTCAGATTTGCTAACCTGGTCCTTTCTACACAGATTGGCAAGACCTCTGCTGTCGTCCTCACCCTCTGCGGTGTTCTCAAGGACATCATGCTCGTCATTGCCTCCATGATGATCTGGGGCACCCAGGTGACTGCTCTTCAGTTCTTTGGCTACTCCATCGCCCTTGGTGGCATGGTTTACTACAAGCTTGGCTTTGAGGCTCTCAAGGGCTACGCTGGTGAGGCCGGCCGCCAATGGGCCGAGTTTGGTGCTCGCAAGCCTATCCTCCGCAAGCTGTCCATCATTGTGATGGCTGTGCTCTTCATTTTCGTCGTCTTTGGTGGCCTGGCTCCCACCTACGCCCCCGAGTACGACCCCTCCAAGCTCGCCTCTGAAGTCACCAACCACTTCAAGGGCAATGCTGCTGCCGCCGCCGCCGCGGGAGCTGAGTAAACGTCACATGAATGAAACCATGGCTTCTTTTAGGGCCAACTGTAAAACGAAGTACGATTGCGTCAACGGCGTTGTTTGGTTGGAAGGACAGACAATCTAAAAGGTCAATCTTCTGTTTCTTGTGAGTGACGGGCCCTGAGGAGGTCCCAGCGCTTTGTTTCATTCTTCGCCAAAACCAGCAAACAAAAACGGAGCCCCCCCTAACTTGGAGACAAAGAGGGGGGCTTAAGCATTCTTTGGCTGTTGAGACCTGTTATTTTTTTATTGGTGTATAATTATAGAGCGTCGAGCGGCACTCCAGGTCGATGCTGCTCGAAATCAAGTTTGTTTTGCGCCAAGGTCTAATCTGATGTACTTTAGACGGCGTGAGAGACGAGTTCATAGAGAGATGTAGAGATGAAATCACTACAAAACTTTTTAATATTTCTAAATTGAGACTCAATCAATTCAGCAATTGCATGCACACTTGTAACTGTTTTGGCTTCCTTCCATACACACCGCGCGCGAGGCAAAACGACATTGGTCATGGTCATTGTCATTTTAGGATGCAGAAAAAATCAATTGGTGTAGCTACAAGCCAAACGGTCTATCTTTCTCTCCTCCTTCGTGCCATTTCATGAGCAGTGTCGGTTGGACACTGGCGTAAACGTGTTTCCCTCGAGTTCATTTTTGTTTGTCGCTGTTGAGTCCCACGTCACTGGCAACGAGACATTCACGTAGTAAAGAAATAATTGTGAATAATTGATAATGAACTTCATATTGAGCCCATAAACCGACCGTGGTTCCTTAAAAGTACCAATCGATGCTCTTTACATCCCGCCAACTCCCAAACCGTGATGGAGAAAACGATTTTTAATTTAGAATCCTAGAAAAGAAACGACACCGTTAGTTTTTGAAACGCTGCTGGAGTTCGCTCTCCGCATCTCCCATTTTGCCCATTTGGGGTAAAGGGGATGAATCGATAGAGAACCGGAATAGGACAGGAGAAAACATACTCAGAGGGGTGAAGAACCATCGGTTCTTGCCGCTGGTGTATCGCTCCTCCAGAACCTTCTTGACAGTCTTCTTGGCATCCTCCCGCTGGCTGACCTCCTTGAAGGTGTCTGCGGAGATGGTTCCCTTGATGCCCTCGAGCTCAAGGGTGTATCGGGTGGGCATCAGGTGGTTGTAGTTGATGACCTTGATGAAGGGCTTGACCTTGCTGCGCTTCTCCTGTCGGGTCTTGGACATGCGGCGGGTGATCTTTGAGGGGTAGCGCTCGATGCCGGCAACGATGGCGTGGCCGAAGGGGTGAGGCTTGTTGCCGTTGTCGACGGGCTGGATGATGACGACCTGAAAAAGAAAGAGTGTCAGCACTTCTGTATGGAATTGTGAAATTTGCAATTCGCGAAAACGTAGATGAAAAAAAACCACAGCGCTCGTTCTCAAATCAATATCGTCCTTCTCTTTTCCCTCTATACTCCTCCCTCTTCCCATACAACAACAACAAGAAGCGAGCCGTCCAATATGGGAAGAGAAAAAAAATATTATCGAAATTGTCGACGCAAATTTGAGAACTGAGCGGCGCGGTGGGAAATTCGTAATTGTTTCGTACCTTCTTGCCGGCATATCGGCCTCGGGTGATGATGGCGACTCGGCCGACCTTGAGGAACTTCATTTTGTCCTGCCTGTGGGTGGTCGGTATGTGCTGGAGGAATAGGATTTCGTCGTCGTAGAACCGTGATCGGGAATTTGGTGCAAAATTTGGGGTTTGTGGGCTGACGATTTGGGGCAAGCGACTCGCAGGTGCTATGTCACGTGGTGATTGCGCTTCTTTATCCGAGGTGGCCCGTGCACACAAAAATTAGCCCCTCCCTATTCGCTCCTTGGTGTCCAAATGAATCTTCGGGATAAGATAAAAAGAGCGTTATACCCACTTTGAGCTCATCGGGTTGCGGCAATAGAAACAAATTCAGTCCCAAGCATGCCTGCGCCGACTTATATCATTTCTCGGGTCGCCGACCCTATCTTTGCTGTCGTGATTGGATTATCGGCGGCGGCAACCAGGATCAACCGTGAAGAGAAGGCCAAGGGAAAGACGACCAATGAGACAATAGAAACTGGTCTACGGTATGAGACTGACACATGTGAAATTCTCAACGCTTCATGTGCGCTGATTTATTTTGTTATAGACGCGTTGGACTCTCAAAGAAATAGATTTTATCGCCATTTCAAGGCATCAGTTCACGAAACGCCACCATTTCATGCTCTCTAGATACACAAAAACGCCATATTCGGGGTCAAAGCTGACCTTGGTTGGCTAAATTTCATAATTCATCCGTCTTCTCCTGACATATAAACTCAAGGAGGACTTCATGTACCCAGCTGGCTCTTTAATCAAACAAACAAAAAGGAAACAAAATTTACATCTCAAACGCGGGACCATACTCCTTCTTCATCGCTTCTCGAACCATCTGGCCGCAGAGTTTCGCCGTTGGGTTGACGCTGACAGCCAAAGCCTTTGCAATCTGGTTTCCATATCTGCCTCCGAGCGCCAAGTCTCTTGAGGCAGCTTCTTCGAATTCTATGCGGGACCAAGTGGCCTCCTCGCGGCTGTCGTCAATGTCCAACTGGCGATCTGACAAGAGCTTGGCGGTTCTTAGGTAGATTGCCGCTCGTTGAGTGTGCGCCATGGACAGCGTCCGCGCAGCCTGTGAAGACATGGGAGTTGTTGGCGAGGGTGGAGTGAGCAGCCGGATTGCAGTTTCCATATCCTCAAGTGCATCCTTTGCCGCCTTTCTCTTCTCCGACTGCTCTGGCTGGGGAATCAGCGGCATGGGCATGGTCGATGTGTAGTTGAGCAACATGCAATCTCCATACAGCCGCCGCATGATTTGCGCGCGGTTGTTTCTGGCGCTAGCATAGAGAGGATAGTCTGAAATGAGGTTGCTAAAGTCTGACACGCAGCTCTTGTAGCTCTCAATGGCCTTGTCGGCGTCGTCTTCGCTCTGGAAGCTGCTGAGCTGCATCTCGATGGCTTGAAGAGTGCGGATGATGGTGCGCTCTCTCTCCACCACTCTCTCATACACGCTGTGATCGACGATTTGAGGATCACGGGGCAGCGCAGGGTCAATCACCACGCCTGCAGCCGGGTTGGACTCGGGGTCCTTGATCTTCTCGAGCACGTTGATGTCGTGCCGGCTCAGTGATACTGTTGTCATTTTGGCGGTGGTGCGCTTTGTGGTAGACAAGTGGAGATGGCAATGCAAGTTGATATCAATTGTCAAAGGGTACTCAGTACTTGTGAAAGCTTTACAATGACGAGATGGTTTGAGCAACTGTCAAATGGATATGGAAGAGACAAGAATTCATATGAAATTTGGACAGCCTATCCGGTGTCTGGGATTACCTCGAGTAGCCGCGTCAAGTGACTGGCTCTTCCGCTCGACTAAAAGTTTACGACCAGGACCTTCGGCACAGCGGAGCTTATCAGCACCAAAGTTACACCGCAGCGGAACTTTTCTCCTATCAAACGATCGATCGCCTAAGCTCAACCGCCAGATTCAAGAGCACGCTGGAGAGTCTCGGGCGCCCGCATGCGTCATCCCCAGCCCAGTCGGTGGCAACGGAACTTAAGCCGGGCTCTGGTGGGGCGGCCATTGTCGGCTCTCCTCGGCTGGCACCGCCGGAGCGGCATCATTCCGCACGGCACTCAGCGTCTCTGTATCCCGGCGCTACGGCCGTCGACGCTGCAAAAAAGGAGCTTCAAGGGCGCATTGGACGATCGCGGCTTGGCCCCCGCATGGCACAGCAGCCAGTGAGAGTGCTTGCTTATGGGAGATTGCAATGGGATCGGAGCTAGCGGAAGGATAAAGGAATAGCCCTACGAACCAACGTAAGCCGCCTCTCAAACCTTGGAGCAAAGGGGCGGAGAGAAGGCCTTGGGCCGCTTGAATCCATCGCTTTGCTCGGCGTGCGGGAGCTTTCCGATGGCTCAGAAGTAACTTTGGAAACAGTCTCGCCAGATTCATATATCAGTGGTGTTGCCCTCTTTGGGCCACACAGACCTGTCATTGACACTCAACCCGAGCTCTGAATCTGATATATATCAAACAGCCAGCACACCATTCCAAAACTCTTTCAAGACCCTCGAGTCTACATCAACAACTCTTACATCTTAAACAAAACTGCTTCAAAGCATATACACAAACCGGTTTCCCCCAGTTTCACCCCCAAATACCTTCTGAGTGGCAATGTCCCCTTCTGCTATCAGCAACTCCCCAGAGCAGCGACCTGCAAACAACAACGGCACCACCCCCGACAACTTCGCTATCCAGCCTCCCGCCGACTTCACCGGCTATGACCACGTAACGTGGTGGGTTGGCAACGCCAAGCAGGCGGCCGCTTATTACACCACCCTCTTTGGGTTCGAGACTACGGCCTATCGTGGACTCGAGACTGGAAGCCGATACTTCGCTTCCTATGTCGTCTGCAACAATGGCGTCCGCTTCGTCTTCACGTCGCCTCTGCGATCGGAGGCTCACCTCCCTGAAGATGAGACCATCTCTGATTCTGAGCGGAAGCTCCTGAAGGAGATTCACGCTCACCTCGAGAGACACGGCGATGCCGTCAAGGACGTTGCCTTTGAAGTTGACAACGTCGAGGCCGTATACAACAAGGCCGTGGCTGAGGGCGCCATCGCCGTCCAAGGCCCAACCGCCACCAAGGATGATCACGGCTCCGTCACCACGGCCGTCATCTGCACCTATGGCGATACCACCCACACTCTCATCAACCGCCGGGGCTACACGGGACCTTTCCTGCCCGGCTTCCGCGCCGGCAAGGAGCGCACCTCGTCCGTGGAGATGCCCAACGTGCCCCTTGCCCGCATCGACCACTGCGTCGGCAACCAGTCGTGGAACGAAATGGTCTCGGCCTGCGCCTTTTACGAGCAGTGCCTGTCCTTCCACCGTTTCTGGTCCGTCGACGACTCCCAGATCTGCACCGAGTTCTCGGCCCTCAACTCCATCGTCATGGCCTCGCCCAACAACCTCGTCAAGATGCCCATCAACGAGCCCGCCCCGGGCAAGAAGAAGTCCCAGATCGAGGAGTACGTCATCTTCAACTCCGGCCCGGGCGTCCAGCACATCGCCCTCCTCACCCCGGACATCATCACCTCCGTCTCGGCCCTCCGCGCCCGCGGCGTCGAGTTCATCAACGTGCCCACCACTTACTACGACACCATGCGCCAGCGCCTCAAGACGGAGAAGCGCAACTGGCAGCTCAAGGAGGACCTGGACACCATCCAGCGCCTCAACATCCTCATCGACTACGACGAGGCCGGCTACCTCCTGCAGCTCTTCACCAAGCCGCTCATGGACCGCCCTACCGTCTTCATTGAGATTATCCAGAGAAACAACTTTGAGGGCTTCGGCGCCGGCAACTTCAAGAGCTTGTTCGAGGCCATTGAGCGCGAGCAGGCCGAGCGAGGAAACTTGTAATTTTTGTAATACCCACCTAAAAGGAACGGCGTGAAAGAGAAGCCGCCGATCTATGAATTTTCTATGTATCTTACTACACAGCTTCGGGAGTTTGTTTACTGGGCATCCAAGATGATGCATATGGGAGCATTCAGGTAGTTTGCAGCCACGATTACGAATCATGCTGAAATGAAATTTGAATATATTTCAAAAAGCTCACTGGCTTCTCCATCGTGATATCTTGTACATCTACCCCCTTTTCATTGTTTTTTTGAATGACACTACCTTGAGTAGGCAGCTGGAATGGTATCTCCCCATCAGCAGGGTTCCAACCGTAATGCTCCGTAAAATGCTCATATCTAAACGCCCTAAACAAAAACAAAGAAGAGAGACGATATCTTTGTAAGAAAATCCAATTATATCCGAAAAGGAAACATCCCTCATGGCGCTTCTTGCAGTAAAAAAGAAATTGCAGCCTCGTGATGCCATCCACAAGTCCCAAGCATCTATCCGTCTATAGCCATGACTCCGCCATTCGTATACCCATTCCCGTTTGCCTCTACAGGCGGCACCCCATCAGGGGTTGGCGCAGCTTGGGATTGACTCTGGCACCCAGGGCAGTTGTGTATCACCATATGAGCAAAGACGTCGCAGTCAATGCAGAAATGATTGCCGCACACTTGACACTTGTATCTCCCGCTTTCGCTCACACCCTTTGCGGGCGCTTTTGGGGGGGCTTCGTCTTTGCCCTTTTCTTTGTTTGGCTTGGGAGGTTCGGGGAAGGGACACTGGCAGGAGAAGCAAGCTGTTGATCGCGGGGCCTCAGCCCAAGGGACTTCGACCCAGTTCCGCAAGGGGAAAAGGTGGTGATAAGAACGAGCAAGATGCGTTGATAGAATGAGCGTCAGGCCACAAGCGGGGCACTCCGAAGGTAGCCTGCACACCTTGACGCCGCATCGTGTGCAGAGATATCCCTCTCGGCAAGGTTTACTGTGACAAGCGCAGTAGCTCGTAGTCCCACCAGGGGCAAGCGTTCGTGAGGGGAAGCCCATCATCAACAGACTAGATATGCTTTGTTCCTTAGTCCGGTTCACGGGTGGTGTCGTTATCGCCAGGAAGAGATCCTTGAAATGTGTTTCATCCATGGCGACATTGTACTGTGAGTCATCTCCCACATTTGTTCTAGAGCAGAGTTCTGCGCAGATGGCAACCTGGGCAGACAATCCGACCACAGATACCCGTATTCGGTCGGCGATGAGGTTGCTGATTGTATCGTGAATGTCACCGGGATCGCTCGAGAGCAGGGCGCCGTAGATGATGAGCACCTCTCGCGTGCCGTGAGAAGGAGCATGGCTATCATCCAACATCAAGTTAGCATATCGTGTATCAAAGTGGCGGGCGAATAGAATCTAAGGTAGATGGCAGGTAACACTCACAATAACGCTCCTCGACACATCTCCAACGCATTCTGCAAGCTCGGGTTCCCCTGAGGATCCTGCCCTTCCAACTCTCGCAGCCGCTCTAAATGCTCCGCAGGATTCCCTCCCATATCACTGACTCGAACCGCCACGCCATCCCTCATGCCCACAATCGCTAGCTGCGAAATCGGGTTCTGCTCAAAGTACTCCCGCACAAACGCCGCCGCGTAGCTCAGCGTCAGCCGATACCGCGTCGGCAGCAGATCCTTTTCTGCCATGGCGAATGACATGTCTAGCACCAGCACCAGATGCCGTATGATGCCGCGCTGCAGAGGCGTCGTGTCGCGCAGCAGGCGTCGGCGTCGCTCAGCCTCGTAGCCCGCCAGGTTAAGCATGCCATCATCTTCCTCGGGGAGATCCGTCTCCCACGTTCGTCTAGACTGCTCCCATGCTTTAGATGCGTTGCCGCCGCGCTTCTTCTTGGATACTTTCGAGCCCTTGGTGCGAGCCGCGCTCGGGTCGCCGTCCGTCACGGTATGATCCATGATGTCGTCGTCGGACATGTCGTCGGCGACGAACTCGCCATCGGAGTCAGCCATGGTGAATTGGGTTTTGCAATGAGGCGTAGATGGGAGATATTATGCTTAAATACTAAAATAAGATTTTGAGCAAGTCAAATGAAAAAATGCGTGCAGTTGACAGAAAGGAAAAGGTGAATGACGTGCAGTTGGAGAGTTTAAGTGATGGAAATCGATAAGGCTGCTTTAGCTGGAGAATTATCTCAGCCTCGTTAGTGCTCCTAGTTCTCCACCAAAGCACAAACGGCCTATCAGGTTCACGCTATATTTCACACCTTGAGATGAACGACACAATGTCATACAAAATAAAAAAAATCAACTTTCAATTATTACTCACTCACTCCCCCGGGGTATACTACAAAGTCATATCTAAACCACTGTACAAGCTATCAAGCCTTGAAGCCCGCTTAGCGAGTAACATAGAAACCAGAACATATGTTTTTCTCCCACAATCTTTCTCCAACTCACCAGATGCCTTTCACCCAAAGTGACACCAGTACGCAAAACATTATTACCAAAGAAGCCCAAGCCCCCTCATAGAGAGCTGAACAAAAGAAAAAACACATAAATATAAGGTAACTTTAGCTCCAACATAATGGCTGGTCACTCAGTCTCCCCGCCTTCCTCCAACCAAAAAAGAAATTCCATCACTGCTGGCATATTTCAGCCAGTTCCATATGTGCTGCGTGAGCGCGTCGTTCGACTCGTAATCAACTCGTCGGGGAAAACGTATATATATGAAAAGCAGAAGTTAACAAAAGAGTGAAGCCGTCAATGCTGCCGCCTGTAAACGCCGAGGTTCGAAACCCAAAATGTTGCAAGATTATCTTAGTTGTATGGTTGAGAGTTGTAGGATTGGGAGTGCGAGTGATTGTTGGAGTTGTAGCCTTGCGAGGCAAAGCCTTGGTTGGAATAGCTCTGGTTGGCGTATCCCGTGTTAGCATAGGCTGCACTGGTAGCAGTATAGCCTGGAGAGGTGTAAGACTCTGTTGCTGGCATGGGCCAGTCGTCCTCGGTGATGCTTGACCAGAAGACCCAGACCATGCCGACGGCCAGAAGCGTGAACAGTGTCTCGAAAAGGGCTCCGTCAATCTTGCCGTTGGTCCCATCGCAGATGTATTTGCTGATGACGTAGTTGAAAACCTGACCGATGGCAAAGAGAAGGGCGGCGGCAGTCAAATAGATCATCGGGCGGAGCTCTCCCAGGATTCGAAGGACCAGAATGGTTTCGAGGACGAAAAATGCAACGAGGAACAGCAGAGGGATAAGCTGGTATAACACATAGAGGGCAATGTTGCGGTTCGGGAGTTGATAGCTGCTGTCCCAGAATCCGGTCCAGCTGAATCCTGTGTCGAGAGCAATGTAGCCAGTTCCAACGAGGAGGGCGCCGGCAGAGCCAAAAAGCAGGGCCAGAGATAACGGGGTGCCGTCATCGAGTAGCTGAAATCCAACAACAGCGTTGAGCATGAGGATCCATGTGGTCGCGATGATGGCGCCAATGTGAATGCCACTAAAAGCCTATATCACGGGTGTTAACAGATTATGAACGAGAACCTTGACAGCAGGGGTAACGAAATGGGATGGCTGGTAAACGTACCACTCGTACGGTTTTGCCGAGAGGGATTTCGCCAACTGAAAAAATTTCGCAGATGCTGATGAGAATATAGCCAAGAAGGAACAGTTGAATTTCGCTGTCACGCCAATGTTAGTTCTGTTATCCGAGGTGTATGCACGGTAGTACATACCGACGGCCCACGGCAGCCTTTTTCCTGTCCGATTTTATGATGAGGAACGATGCCATGGCAATACCGATGCCACATAGGATGATTGATCCAACGTTACCCAAATGCCGGCCGCCGCTCAGCGAGATTCCGGTGAGCGCACATCCTCCCCAGGGGCCGGTTTGGTTCTTGAATTCTTCGGATAGCAACTGTGGTTGACGGCTGGTTAGCTTCCATCCCTGAAATCGATCCTGTCTCTTGTCGTCTCTTTCTGTCCATTCTCATATCCCCAACCAGCACTTACGTTGCAGACCGGCAGGGTCGAATCTTTGCAGAAGTCCTGTTTACACACTTGATCAGCCAGCGACACCAAAAGCGCAGAGATTGGACGATGGCGTACGTTAAAGTTGCCAAAGGCTGTGGACCCCATTGTGACTGCGGATGCTTTGCACTTCGATCAGCACGCGAGCAGCATCCAGCGATGCAATCACAATCGGGGGTGGAGGAATTGGCGAGATGGGCAGCAGGATAGGAGCGAGATCGATCGTCGGATGCTGCAAGTCGGCGTCTCGTTTGCAGGTGGCGCTAAGGCAGCTGCAGAAGCTGGTCGGGAGCGCGTATCGGGGCCGAGATGTAAAAGAGGCTTGAGCCCTTGCTTTTTCCCTTTATTTTTCCTTTTTCCTCCCTCTCGCTTCTGGGGTCCGTTCCGGTCGGATCGAGGGTTGGAGGCCACAGGAGGCTGTGAGATTGCTGGTGCTTATATTGACGTGCCTGCGCGCTACTGTTGCGATAGCAATGGGGCGAAGTACTCGACAAGTAGCCCAAAATAAAGAGCGCCGCCGGCGGTGTATGTGTAATACTTGTATGCGCGGTGTCGAGGCCCAACGATGAATGGATCGCGTTCAATGCGTCGCCCCGTCTGTGGCTTTGGTTTCGGCCGTTGTTTGGGCCAGGCCAGACGCTCCAAGCTGGTCAGAGACGAGGCCTTCTCGCTTCTAGGTGGGTTATTCTGGCTGTGGAGGAGGAGAATGTCGAGTCCTAAGCAAAGAAGCAAGGGAGACTCGTTGGCTGTCCAAGGGAAAAACCGGGGGTGTTCGACGCACCTGCAGCAACTGGAAGCTTGGGCCGGGGGACAGCGCCTGGCGATACCCATTGTGTCTGAGGCACGTACCAAGGGAGTCTTACCCAAGGGAGAACCGCCGGCCGTGTACCCAGACAGTACATAACGCTGCTGTACGAGTACTGTACAGTCATACTACTACTCCTACTAGGACAGTACTCCAGCACCTAAAAACAAGCACAGGATCTTTTGGTGTCGCCAAGGCTCGTTCCATAACTGCAGTGCAGGCTTTTCCCATCGCCAGTGGTTGGGTCGCTGCCGCTAAAACGGGCAGCCATGTTGCTCGTCTCTCCCCCTAAGCCCCGTCAAGCCCCCCGGGGCCAACGCTGAGTCTAGCGCATGTTACTGAGCCCTAGCACCGAGTCTAGCACGCCCGGCCTCAACTTTTAGGCCAGGTCCAGGTGCTGCTGGGCCAAACTTGGCAGCTAAAGCAGGAACGGGCTTGCTGAGTGGACGAGGTGGGTCCTCGGGTGATCCCACGCTAGGATTGCAAGCCCTGTGATTGGTTCGTTAGCTATTTTTGACAAGGGACCACCCTTGTTTAGGAAAGCTGACCATTCTGCTGAGACAAAGAGACGCAAACGGAACAATGAGTGCGACCTTATATCACGTTAGGGGCTGGTGGCCTCGGGATGGAATATTAATGTCTGACTATTACGAAAGTGCAGCGCACGAGTGCAGGTACCTGGCATGGAATACGGAGTACAGCAGGGCCTACAGTTGGTGCATCAATTACAAATGCCCTCTCATGGACCAACTTCATCCAAGATTCCAGTCCACAGCTCCAATATGCAGTAAGACACCTTTAGGATGCGCTATAACGCTCTATAACTCAAGATGTTGCCACTGGCACCAAATACGCGTGCTAACCAAGCGGCTTTCCTCGTATGGCTAAAAAGCGGCAGCCAATCGACATGTGCCTCAGACATCACGTACATTAGCATGGAGTACTACGAGTACTACGAGCCACGATGTAGAGCTACGTGGCGCCGCATATCGACGTGTGGCTCGTAAAGCCTGGCCTTGATGCTCCAGCTATTGCGTCGCCTTGCTGATACGCATTGCATCGTGCAGCTGATCATCATGCATGTTGGTTTCGTATCTTCTTTTTTGCTTTTCTTTTTCTATTCTATTTTTCTTTTCTTTTCTTTTTTCTCTCTTCTGCACAAACTCCCCCAAACCCCCTTTAGCGAGCCAATGGGAACTTTTGAGTATCCCCTTCCATGCACACTAGGTATTACACGAACTCTGCAGAACAAAATCTTTCCATATCAGCATCCCGGCTTACTTCCAACCAAAGTCCTGCTGTAAAGCACAGGGCACGTTCATGCATGCCCAGGTAGCGCCGTGCGTATTTTCGGCTTTGCATTCTCCACAGCAGCTCCGTCGGCCAGACAGAGCGCCGCAAAATCGCTTCTCTGCAGAGCTGCGTCATTGCTAAAAATGGCAATTTCATCCTTCTTCCAGTCATGTGCTGCTGTCGTAAAATCGACTCCTACGCTCTATAATTGTTGATAGATTACGAAGGCGTACTGCGTCCAGTTGCGTGCCTCCGATTACCTGCGGTGCAAATACTGTGCATACACCATCCACGGCTCAAACTACAACATCCCATAAAAGAGGCCCGTCTCCGGCTTATTAGTGTGAATCGTGTGTTACGATTAAATTGCTTCGACAAGCTAAGCGGGTCCCGTCCCGTGGTTGGACGACCTTGTTTTTTTCTTTTTTCTTTTTAAAATTGCGCTTTCGCTTCCCTGCCTGATCGATGACCGGCACAGGCGATCGTCGGAACAATCGCCTACTTTGTTTCCGTCGCTCACTCTACGGAGCACCATTCCGTGTTTCTCACTTTGCGGAGTGCTAACTGTCCCGATGTCCCTAGCGAATGAAGAGTGTCTTGCTCTTGGCAGTAAAATTTCGTCTCGTCCTTCGTAATAGAATACCTGTAAGAAAGACGACCAGATCCACAACGGACACTGCTGTAACAGTGAGAGTATCTCATCAATTAAATGGTATTGGAGTTTGTAAAACCCGTCTAGGCGGCCCAATATCCCGGACCATATACTCCGTGTAGTTGCTGCATTAGTTGAGTTCAATGTGAGCGCAAAAAGTAACAGAGCACGATAGCACCCTATCAGCCTCTGAAAACAAGATATGTCTTTACAGCAAATGGGCAAAAAATCTCTCCCGCCGGGAATTGAACCCGGGTCTCAAGCGTGACAAGCTTGCATACTGACCACTATACTACGGAAGATGTTCCAGGCGTTGGGCGCCTGTTGTAGCGGATCACGTGCTTGGTCTTGATTTATTTATAGTTATGAAGCCATCGTGTTAGGCCTCCTAAGGTGTGTATTAATTCTTCGAAACATTTGTGCCCGCTTGCCAATGTTTGACGGGTTTGAAGCATGTGCTTCAGTGTCAAGGATGAACGCCCACAAACAGTGCATCGATTTGGGGTCATTTCATTTACAGTTCCCTATATTTCAGTGTAAAATAAATTTACTGACGAAATTGTAAAACCTTCAGTCTCCCAAGAAGAGGTTCTCGACCGAAATATCCAATCATAGGTACTCTTCTGCAGGGTAGCTCCACCAAAATTCAGCCAGCCGGATGTATCTTTGATCTTGGCCTGTAGATGATGAACTTGCGAATTAGATGATGGTGCATACATGGAGTGCGTGCCGTGCGCTGGTTGAGCCAGTTACAATTTAATGTGCGTCTCTGCCAGAAAGCTACATGTAGCGGCCAATCAACATGCATTTGCGAGATATGAGCAAATCAATCCCCGCCTAGCGGATGAGGCTGTACCTCCAGGCAGCTCACAGGTCAATTTATACACGCATGTATTCATCAACATTATGAACCATCATAATTTCCCCATCGGTCACCTATTGAACTCTTTATCTTCCGTGCTGCAGGAATTTTCAAAGAAGAATGCCGCCCTTCTGGACGAAACGGAAAGGAAAGCAGCCGAATAAAGACACCAAAGTACATTTGTCTGCCGAGCCTGGTTGTCCAACTGTGCCCAATGAATCTGTACCCGATCTTGAGCCTGCGCCAAACTGCGAGCTGGATACCGAACCCAAGCCGCTTCAGGGGAGGCTATGGAATGAAGCATACGAACAGCTGAAGTCAAACAATACCGAACTCGTAGAGTCATATGAGAAAATCCTCTTTACACAACTCTTTCGTGGTCAAAATGGCCCTTCTGAGTCTGCCTCTCTGGAGAATCGAATTGATAAGGCCTATATTGAGAGATGGAAGCAAATGCAAATGATTGTGGAGGCGGCCCTAGAGAAGAAGAAACAAAGCATCGAGAAAAAGCAGAAAATTGGCAATGGATTAGCAGCGGTTAGCATTACCATGAGCCAAGCCGTTCGAGCTGTTCCAGAAGCTGCTGTTGCATGGACTGGAGTCTGTTTTGCTCTCGAGGTAAGCTTATAGATTTCATTCGCTTTGAGCCATCACTGACAAAGATGACTGAAGATGGTTTCCAATTCCATCCAAGAAGCCAAGGCGAACAACGAAGGCATAGTATACGTTGTATCAAGGATGGACTGGTATTGGCATCTCGCGGAGCTACTCTCTGACGGCAATATAACTAAATCTGCTCCGATTTCATTGCGAATTCAAATGGAAAAGCATATCATTGATCTGTATCAGAAGCTTCTACTTTACCAGATGAAGAGCGTGTGCCGTTACTACCGCCGACATGGACCAGTCATCTGGAGAGATGCAATCAAGGCTGATAACTGGACTGGTCAATTGGATGATATTCGGAATGCTGAAGCGACTGTTCAGAAAGACTCAGGAATATTTAATGCTCTGGAGATCCAAAGACGACTTGGCGAGCTTGATTCTGCGAGTCAAGTGCTCCGAGGCGAAATACAGGACATTTCGCCAACAATCAAGCACCATATCCTTAGCAAAAAAGAAGAACGATGCCTGAAGGATCTCCGAGTCACTGATCCCCGCGATGATAAATCTCGAATTGAAGATACAAATGGCGGCCTTTTGCAAGGAGCTTATGATTGGGCTATAAAGCATGGCGATTTCATAGCATGGCGAGATGAGAAGGCAGACCATATGTTGTGGATCAAAGGAGATCCTGGAAAAGGGAAGACGATGCTTCTATGTGGTATCATTGATGAACTGCAACGCCAAAACATCAATCCCTGCTATTTCTTTTGTCAGGCTTCAGATCCACGACTTAATAGTGCGACCGCTGTCTTGCGTGGCCTCATTTATCTTTTGGTGGATACAAATCGGCAGCTGCTTTCGCATATTCAAGAGAAATACGATCAAGCGGGGGCAACTTTGTTCCAAGACGCCAATTCCTGGGTCGTATTATCCCAAATGTTCACTGAGCTATTAAAAGATCCTAGCTTAGAAGGCCAGGTGTTTATGATTGATGCGCTTGATGAATGTCAGGAAGATTTAGAGCGGCTCCTTGATCTTATCGTTAACAGAGCCATAGGTTCTCGCGCTAAATGGATTGTGTCGAGTCGAAATTGGACTGGAATTGAGGAGAAGTTGGGCACAATCTCGCAAAACATTCGATTCTCTCTTGAACTGAATGAGCAGTCAGTCTCCGAAGCTGTTAACCATTATATCACCCAATAAACAGCCCAATTAAAAGAAGCAAAAAGGCTGGACGAAGAGACGGAGCTCGTCGTTCGAAATTACTTGACCGATAACGCGAGAGGAACTTTTCTGTGGGTGGCCTTGGTGTGCGAGGAATTGTTGAAAATTGCAGTGCGCAGACGGCATGTATTGAAGAAGATGGCGGAGTTTCCACCCGATCTTGGTCCTCTTTATGAAAGAATGATGCAGCAAATTCGCGCGTCGGAAGATTCTGACTTATGTGAGAGGATTCTTAGGCTGGTTTCGGTCCTCTATAGGCCTATCACCTTGACGGAATTAGCATCTCTCTTGGATGTTGAGAACAAGTTTGACAGAGAGGATCTTGAGGAAACGGTTGCCTCATGTGGATCTTTTCTAGTTGTGAGAGACGACTTTGTACGATTTGTTCATCAATCGGCCCAAGACTTCCTGCTCAAGGACAGCATCTTCGTTTCTGGACTCGGAAGCCAACACTATACCGTATTTTTAAGGTCGTTGGACATTCTATCGGTGACTCTACGACGAGACATGTATAATTTACGCCATCCTGGTGCCCTGATCGAAGAGTATACACCAAACCAAGCTAAAGATGTACTGAGACACGCGAAATACTCCTGTGTATATTGGGTGGACCATCTCCAAGCCGTCAATGGTCTGGAAAGAGAGAAATGTATGCTGAGTTTAAGGGACAATGGTATAGTTCACCATTTCCTCAAAGAGAAGTTGTTGAATTGGTTGGAGGCATTCAGTTTAATGAAGAAGATGAGGGATGCCGCAAGGGTTGTTAGGATCTTGAAGACATTGGTAAGTGAATTTTCTGATGTCAGGATAAACAAAGCCTTACCGATGTCTAGTCAACAAGTGATGAATGCATCATGAGGAACCTCATAGAAGATGTTTTCCGGTTTGTCCTCGCACATAAAATTGGGATCGAGCTGGCGCCTCTGCAAGTCTACAGCTCGGCACTCAGTTTTAGTCCCAGTTCCAGTATGATTCGGCGGATGTACGAGGAGACTGAGGGATCAAAGTGGATTATTACAAAACCAAAGATGCAGGTAAAATGGGCCAAACGTGTTCAATCCCTCGAAGAAAGTAAATCACTGTGCTTGTCCTTGGAATTCTCACCAGATGGAGCACAGATAGCATCTGCGAATCATGATAGGGAAGTAAGAATTTGGGATATGGAGACAGGTGTGTGTTTACATACAATGAAGTGCCTGGAAGATATTAAGCTGCTAGCCTTTTCACCCAACGGCAAACATCTGGCCACTGTATCATACCCCTTGATCGAGATCTGGGACTTATCAACGTCGAGACGCCTATTTAAATTTGACAGCAAAGCATACATGTACATTTCCAGCTTGGCATTTTCATTCGATGGAACACAATTCGCTGCAGGCTACATTGACGAAAATATCGGTACTTTTATTCGAACCTGGGATCTCGGCACGGGAATAGAGTTGAAGACATCCAAACTCGGCACCGATATGGCTGTGTGTAGGCGCACCGCATTTGCACCGGATGGAACGCACTTCGCTTGTGTGGAAAATAGGTTCGATGAGCGGATTAATATCTGGAATTTAACTACAGACAGGCATCTACCTGCTCTCGAAACGACTCCTCCCACTTGTGTTCTACCCGTTTTCTCAGCTGATGCTGCGCGGTTAGCAGTAACAGCGGCATCGAATGACATGATTCACGTTTTTGATACTTCGACAGGCGTATGCGTTCAGAAAATAGGTCAACTCGGTAAACTCGAAGAGCTGAAATTTTTAGCGACCCATACTAGGCTGGTGACAAAGTCTAGTTCTGGAGATCTCAGGATCTGGGATTCAGTCACCGGCGAATGTCTGTGGCGATTCAGTATTGACTGGAGATGGATATCCGCAGTTTCTTCAGATGGCATGCTGGCCGTGTCAGGGTTTTCCGAAGTAGAAATATGGGACATGGCTATTGACGGGCCCATGGACGTACTTGGAGCCACTATAGGTGGTTTTGTTCAAGCAACTGTTATTTCGCCAGATGGTACACAGCTCGCAATAGCATCGTCCTACTTTGGAGAAAGATGTGCTATCCGAATTCACGACCCTGCCACTGGAAACTGCTTGAAGCAATTTGAACATACACAAGAAAGCCGAATTGAATCCATGGTATTCTTTCCAGATGGCAAGCGGTTGGTGTCTATAGGACGGAAGACAATTGAAGTCTGGAATGTTTCTTCAGGCATGAGCCTACAGTCAATCGATTTACGAGGCTCAGACCTGTGGGAGACCAATTTGCTGGCAACAGTCTCACCAGATGGTAATCATTTGGCAACGATTTTGCATGGGACCGTCATCAAAATAAGGCATTTACCCTCAGGCAAATCTGGACGTATCGGATATTCTGACGATCCGTGGTGTCCTAGGCCCGTTGCTGTGGTATTTTCACCAGATGGCACACAGCTCGGCCTGACATTAGCATCTGGCGCTGTCCTGATCTTCGATGTACAGACGGGTGCATGTTTACAAGATGTCGATAACTTCTTCGAGCCACTAATTCACGGTTGGGGATTTCCCAAATTGCGGCTTAAACCCGATTTGCGTATTTTCGGTTACCAAGACTGCATAAAGACTCCGCCAACCTAACAAGCTTTGATGAAGAGAACGGCGTCAGCATTTACAACGTCTGAAGAAGGGATGTGGATTATGAGGGGCAAAGAGCGGGTGCTGTGGCTCCCCCTCGAGTACCGACCATCTATAGTGGAAGTTTATGATGGATTTGTCACATGTCTAACCGATCATGGAGGGTTTTCGTACTTTCAGTTTGCTATTGATGAATTGGACAAGGTGCTGGCGTGAAATTTGTTCTATGGCTACGGTTCAGACGGTTAAGTCAACTCCTATAGATATGGCTACTCGTTGAGTTGGAGGACTGAAAAAGAGATCTCTTCAAAATGTGTTCTTTATAAAACTGAAAACACAAAATGGCACGGCATTCATGTTTGTTACATCCATAGTTGTGATTATAGATTTGCCCCGGTCGGCTCCCCGGGTTCAGTATATGGATCCGACCCGGCGCCGATGCGTGCTCCGGGAATTTTGATATCCACCGGGCCAAGGCCGGGGCTAGCCTTGAAGGCGACAATAGTTGATCTACCGAGTGTCTACGGTATACTGTGTGCTGAGTGCCGTTGGCTACATTTCGGCCGTCTTGATTCACGACCAATTGAATATTGTACTGCTTAACATCAAAGGTTGACGTGTTCTGAACAGGTGCTCTTATGTATTTAGCCTTAGCTGGACTGTAAGCTAACTGAGCTATATGTAAGTACCGTTCACCGGTGTCTCGTGCTCCGTGCCATCTAAGGGTACCTAATCGCCCATCCGTCATCTGGCAAGTTCATCTTGTAGAATCGCCTGATAAGAGTTGGATTCTCGCAAAATTTTTAAACCTGTTGATGGTTGCGCCTCGCCCGCTTAATGCTGAGAAGATCGGCGCTGGACCTTGGCCAAGGATGTCGTCTGACGTCGGCGTCCCACAGCTGAGATTGAGCGGAAATGCACGTGAGGTTACAGGCTGGAATAGCGCTTGGCATTCCTGTTGATCACTGGGGGGTTTTGCCATTCGAGGCGCCAATAATACGAGACGCGTTGTGTACGGGCAAAACAAGGAGGTTGACCCAGTTGCTTATCAGTTTGTTGAAAGTCGCCTAGTTATATGTGTTCTTTTCCATTGTCTCCTAGACACGTGCCGCAGTTTTAACTCTTACAGTTCTTGATTTGATCCCATTTAAAGTCCTAAGAATATAAATGAAGGAATGCATATTGAAAATTAATGCTTTACTTATTCCTGGTCAATGTGGCTTCAATAGTCCGATGGATTCATCACCAGGCGAGGCGCAAGCTCTGATTGCTGCCCCTGAGAGGTGCGTTATCGCGCGGATCTGGCGGGCGAGAGCGCTGTAAATTAGGCACGTCGTCATCTCGGGGCTTCAATATTCCCTGAGCCCGTCTAATCAATCGCTGTACCTGATTTTTTTTCTCCTTCAACCTCTCTCTTCCTCTCTTCTTCCATTCAAATCCAATCAATTCTTCTTTCAACTTGACGGATGGCATCTTCACTTTCTTGTCCCCTTTTGCATTGCTACGCCTCGCCTCCTTTTCAGCTGGAATCAAGACTGCCGCGCCACAGAGCCGCCACTTGACGGTTTGCGTCTTCTTCCTCCCCATCTCCACCTTTCTGCTGCGTCCGTCTTTTGTCTTGTTCTTGTCTCTCGCTTCTCCAAGGCTTCAACCATCCAACTCGGGGTCCCCTGCTGCTCGCCTGCTACCTAAAAAAAACTTGTCTGCCAGCTCTTCTTATTCCCCCAAAAAGGCCCCCCTCCCCTCACATTCGCTCCATCGTGCATCTGTCGCAAGGCCACGAAACTCCACCCGCACTAAAACCGGACCCCCAGTGACGTATCGTGAGGCTCGTGGCTCTCGAAATCTGGGTCATCTGCGTCCAGGCTTGAGGCATCGCCGTATTGCCGGACCGGATGCTGTACATGCACCAGGACATTGTCGCGCTTCTGTTTTTACCCGTCTCTGGCTGATTATCGAATGTACCGTTGTTGTACTTTTTCCGCATTGCCCGTGTACCTTTTGCCGGCACCCCCAGCTCCGAGCCGCCAAGTTGTTTCACTCGGCTTGACTCCAGTCGGCTGGCTCTACCAAGACATCACCGTCTCTGATTGACGCCAATCTGATCTGTCTTGTCACCCGACCCCATACTTGGTCTGACAACACTCGTTTGTTCATCTGCTCCCTTGCTCTCCGCGCCCTTAGAATCAAGAGCCTGCAGGCGGGTGCTGCTGCTGATCAGCCCCAAAACCACCCAACATTCCTCCTCCAACGTCGACCCGGCTCCCTTCCAACATCCCTCTCCGGACGCTCCCTTCACGCTCCGACCTCGACAAGGACGACCAAGACTCGCCATCGGCATCGCTCCTTTCCACCAGGGGATACGGCGCCCCTCATCACCGCCCGTCGTCCGAGTCTGAGACATCGTCCTGGACCGACACTGGCGACATTGGCGACCAGTACGGCGACGACAACGACCCGGTCCGCATCCAGCTGCCCGAGGACATTGAGAACGAGCTACTCGCCAGTGTCCAGCGCCGACAGTCGAAACCGCTGTACAAGTCGCATAAGAAAGTCCGGATTCACGACCCGTCGCCGCACCGGCGCACTCACTCGTTTTCGCCGGCTCCGTTCGTCGATAAAGAGGCCATAGAGATCCCCAACGTTCATCATCGACCGCCGTCTCGAGCGCAACGCTGCATCGGTTCCATCATGGCGGGCTCTTCAGGCTCTATCCACGGCCTTACGGGCAAGCCCCTGCTGTACGAATTCAGTCCTTGACGTGATGGGATTTTGGTCGTGCTAACAAAGCTTGCGATAGGTATTTTACGAGCATTTTCGTGTCTTTAGGAGTTTTTCTTTTCGGATATGATCAAGGCGTTATGTCGGGCCTTATTATGTAGGCTTCTACTTTTCCCTTTCTACTGCGCAACAGCAAATTGATGGATGAAAACTGACAATTTTCTTCACAGTGGCCCGTACTTCATCGATTATTTCAACCACCCCTCGAAAGCCGAGGTAGGGACAATGGTTGCCATTCTCGAAATCGGAGCCTTTATATCGTCCCTCATTGTTGGCCGCGTCGGTGACATCATCGGCCGCCGCCGTACCATCTTATATGGCTCTTGCATCTTCTTTGTTGGAGGAGCATTGCAGACTCTCGCCACGTCAATGCCAATGATGATGCTTGGACGAATCGTTGCTGGTTTTGGTGTTGGTATGCTTTCCACCATCGTGCCTGTTTACCAGTCCGAAATCTCCCCACCCCACAATCGTGGAAAGCTTGCCTGTATCGAGTTTTCTGGCAATATCGTCGGTTATACGACCTCCGTCTGGGTCGACTACGGCTGTGGTTTTATTGAGAGTAACTTATCGTGGCGCATTCCGCTTATGATGCAATGTATCATGGGCGCTCTTTTGGCATTGGGAAGCTTGATTATTGTGGAGTCGCCCAGGTAAGGAACCATTCCGCTCTTTATAACACAGGCCCCTTTTATCTTCTGCTAATCACGAAATGCTAACCCCCATATCTTACAGGTGGCTCCTAGACAACGATCATGACGAAGAGGGCATGGTTGTCATTGCCAACCTCTATGGTGGTGGTGATATTCATAATGCCAAGGCACGCGATGAGTACCGCGAAATCAAGATGGGTGTGCTTCTTCAACGTCAAGAGGGCGAACGCTCGTACGCCGAGATGTTCCGGCGTTATCGTACTCGGGTCTTCATCGCAATGTCCGCCCAGGGTCTTGCGCAGCTCAACGGCATCAATGTCATCTCCTACTACGCACCATACGTTTTCGAATCCGCCGGCTGGGTTGGTCATGATGCTGTCCTCATGACTGGTTTGAACGGCATCACTTATTTCCTCTCCACCATTCCACCGTGGTATCTCGTTGATCGATGGGGCCGACGAATGATTCTTCTCACCGGAGCCATTTTTATGGCTATTTCCTTGTCTCTCATCTCATACTTCCTCTATCTGGATATCAAGTGGACTCCCAGGTTGGTGGTCTTGTTTGTCATGATATATAATGCTGCCTTTGGATACTCATGGGGACCAATTCCCTGGCTTTACCCTCCCGAAATTCTGCCTCTGAGCATTCGATCCAAGGGTGCTAGCTTGTCGACTGCTACGAATTGGGCTTTCAACTGGCTAGTTGGTGAAATGACACCGATTCTGCAAGAATGGATCAAATGGCGTCTGTATCTTCTCCACGCCTTCTTCTGTGTGGCTAGTTTTGTTATTGGTAAGTGACAAGCCTCTGACCTTTTCACGACGTTTTCCTACACCTGATCAAGTGCTAACCCAATCCTGTTTAGTTTACTTCATTTACCCAGAGACTTGCGGACTACGCCTCGAGGAGATGGATTCTGTATTTGGCGATGCTAGCACTGTGGCCACTCCGTCCATCCATGCGGAAACTGGATCCCTTATCCGGGGTGGATCACCCATTGGATCAGGGCGTACGCCGTTCCGCTCGACGACTCCCATCCCTGGACTGTCTCTTGACCCTCCTGATGTCAATGATAACAAGGCCGTGTCCCAGAGCGGCGGTGATGACCGAAGCATTAGCGGATGGCTATCGAGAGTTGTCAATCGTGGCCGTTCCGGCAGTCCGAGCAGTGGGCAAGGACGATATACTCCACTCGGCCAGCAAGAAGATGAGGGTCGTAATGACAATTGAGATGGTTTACCATATTGATTTCTGGAGTACCCCATATAGACTTTTCTCTTTTCATTTTGATTTTTTTTCTTGGGGCATATAGACAGCGGAGCGCGGCTATAGTATCATGCTTCTCGCTCCATTGGATACGCAGCTTGGCCTAGATTACTTACTGGCAAAAGAACATTGGTTTGAGTACATAAGATGTACATGAATTGCACAGACTAGATCTGTGCTGAGAAGGAGAAGGAGCAGGAGCAGGAGCAAATGATAGCTAAGAGCGAAGAGAAATAGAAACTCTCAAGAGAATTCAGGTGTAGCCGAGAACGTATTACAAACTGCTGTGTGTTTCGGTCAGCGGCGTAACGGCTTGTATAGCTCGTACTTTGAAATGAAAAGACTGATGGAGGAGATACTAAGGTATCGGTATGAACCATGTACTGGCACTATTAAATAATAGACTATATCAGCAATGCATTTAGTAGCGCTTGATGAATTATATGATCTATTGTTCATATACCGTGCATGGGAAAGGGATGAGTGCTCAAGTCACATTGTGGTGGGAATAGGTCTGCGTTCTCCGTGCGCGGAAAATAAAAAACGTACAGTGTAAAAGTCAGCGCACGGCTCTGAGCAGCGTTGAAGTTGCTTCATTTTATATACCACTCCAGGCCCTTCATCGCAACTTAATACAAAGCAGAGTCATGAAGACCCACGCACACAGGAATTCAACGCCGACACCATGACAGCCACAGCCCCCAAGCTAGACATCACCCACGCATATCGGCACCTTTACCGGGGCCTCCTCCGAGCGGTGCAGTACTCGGCGCCGGCGCGGTACGTGGTGCGGGACCAGCTCCGGGCGGCGTTCCGGGAGCGAGATGCGGCTCTGGACAGAGAAGGAGTCAAGAGGACGGTATGGTTCCTGGAGGCAGCGGCTAAGGAGAGGGGGCTGGAGCACAAGATTTTGAAGAATCTGATTCGGGTGCGGCTGGATCGGTCGTGGGGGTTGAGGACCTGGAAGAGAGCTCTGAACGAGACAAAACAAAAGTAAGTGACGTTATTTGTTGTTTGATTTAGATTAATTTCATGTTCTCTTGAGTCTTTGTTTCCACAGCGGTGGTGTTGGGATGAGTAAGGGTTCAGAGTTTGTTGTCAGATGGGATGCTAATGAGATCCAGATCCGACACAAGAAAGCTGCAGCAGGATGCGATGCAGCACTACAATATGACGATTGCAATGCTGAACAAGAGCATGGGGCTCTGTCTCCGATGAAATTTGTCAGATGAGACGCATCCGAGAGGAGAAAATTGTATGGGTTGAAGATACCAAGAGGTAGTGCGTGAGTTGATGAAAATCAGACGGATACGAAGGAAGTGAAACACAATTGTACGAGTATTGCTGTCAATTTTTTGTTGTTGTAATATTACAGAGCGGAATATATCATTTGCGATTCTCGCTGGTCAACCTCTATTATAACTTTCTGGCGCAAACACCTTTGTAACTCCATGCCTCGCGTTGCAATGCCAGCCCTCCCGCCATACCATGGACATTACAAGCCAACCTCAATTTCATTGAATATAAGCTCGTCCAAACTCGAATTGTCGCGTGCATATATCCAGGTTCCCAATCCTGTGCCCTCCTTATCTCCCTGGCCCTCGCTGGCAACGCAGAAATCGTATCGTTTAGGACCGGACAGCGGCGACGACAGCCAGATCTGCTTGTTTGGAGGCTGCTTGTTAATAACGTAGGTGCCCTTGCCGACTACGGTGATGGTCATGACACCGGACTGTTGGGAGACGGTTAGTGAATTGCATCATGGGAGGGTAGTGGAGGGACAAGTCTAACTGAGTATTCCACGTCAATCGGGGCGCCGTTGTCCTGGTGAGTCTCGAACTTCTCAAGAAGATCGTGCAAGTACTCATCCGAGAGATCGTTGTACTCGGCATCAGAGAGCTCGGCAACGGCAAATGTCGTCTCGGTCTTTGGGGCCGCCTTGTCCGGATTGGAGGTATCCGGCATGATGCCCTTGCGCAAGCTCGCGTGAGCCGAGAATTGTCGTCGCTGGGAAGACATCGAAGGCTTAACTGCGCGCGAGACGCTGGGGATGAGGCGGAAGCTTGCGGGAACGGCTCTTGGGGTGCGCATTGCTCGGCCGAGGAGGCTGAAGCCTTGTCTTGAGATGCTCGATGATGCCATTGTGCTCGATGGTGGGGTTGAAGAAGATGCTGGTTGACTTTAAACGGAGATGCGAGGTATGCAATTGCGCAATTCGAGCTTTCAAAAGCTTTGATGGGTTGTGAGATAATATGTATCCTCTAGATGGCCAATTGTCGGCTGGCTGAAGTGGAGGGCGTGAGGAGAAGAGTGAGAGCTGAAGAAGCTTTGAGCTCGATCTTTAGAATGACTGGAAGTCAATTGGAGACTGAAAGGTTCGTCACAGCATGTACCCCATACTTGGGGCTCGGCATTCGAGGTATGACCGGGGACACAGAGGGACTTTGATTGCCTCTGTTTGCACTCGTCCTTAGAGGTACCTAGAGGTTTCTTTTGCTTAGTCACGCAGACTTGGCAACGTCACTTGGAGCTCTCAGCACGCCGTCACCTGTATCAGCCCCACCAGGCCACTCTCTTCCATCAACATCCCGCCAAACAGAAACAGGTCTCTGGGCGATGATGAGCCTCGTTCCGCGGCCATGATCAGCGCATTCTTGGTTTTCAATAACCAGGGCCAGCCTCGGCTTACCAAGTTCTACACCCAGCTGGTGAGTTGCGACCAAATCGTTGCGCAGACCGGGACAGGATACTTATTCAACATCGTCAACAGGACACGAGCATCCAGCAGCGCCTGATATCCGAGATATTCACCCTCGTGTCGAATCGACCGGCTGGTTCTTGCAACTTTTTGCCTCTGCCTCCTCTGCTCGCAGCCTCCAGCACGTCGCATAGCTCGACGGAGGAGCAGAGCGATGTGCCTTCGCTGGTGACATACCGCCATTATGCGACCCTCTACTTCATCGTCATCTCGACCTCGACGGAATCGCCTCTTGCTTTGATCGATTTGATACAAGTATATGTCGAGGCACTTGACAAGTTGTTTGAAAATGTCTGCGAGCTTGACCTCATCTTCAACTTTGAAACTTTACACGCAACATTATCAGAAATGATCATTGGAGGCGTCGTCATCGAAACGAGCCTCGATCGTATTGTCGCTGGCGTCAGAGCTCAAGGAACTGTCGCCAAACGGCCGGTAAACGAGGGACGGAGCACGATTGGGTCAGGAATGGGTATTGGAGGCAACTTTGCCTGGACAGGGCGGGTATAATGATAATATTACGGAATGTAAAGAGATGGATCGGATAGAACTATGGCTAGCATATGCATACATTTCTTTGTCTCCTCCCTTGCCCAACATGGGTATCACGCCAAACGCCATATATATCCAAGTACTATATTACACGCATCGGAGAGCTCCATTATCCTGCGACTTATTTCGATTCTGGGGGTTTCGATGACGGATTTACTTCTGGGGCGTCCTTCCGGCGCTCGTATCGCTTCTCAGGATCAAGAACGCCAAAGAGATTGGTGTAGTGTTTCCGCAACTAGAAGCTTGTGTGAGCGCATTGAACTCAATAAATCCGCGTAATTATTCTGTGACAAACCTCTTCTGACGGCTTATACTGCCGTCCCCACCACTCGAATTCAGAATAGAAAAGCAACCATACCAACGCGGCTGTCCTCGTAGTCAGCTAAGATGCGTCTCTCATATAGCCATTTCCACTGCAAAGGACCAACTGACCTCCAATTGTAATAAGCTGCGCATACTTGACGCCCTTCTCCCATCTTGGCGAATGGTGTGCGAGGGTTATGCGACGCTTGTACTTCTTCTCAAACCGAAGCTGTTGTTGATGAGTCAACCCTTTGAAGTCAGGTGGCCATACTTTTCGAGCCTTGTAGGGATTGTTTATGATAGTCAAGGGAATCTGTTTGGTGAGGGGCTCCTTTGCTGATTGCGCCAGCCGTCTGACGAGGGTTGGAAACATTGTGAGGTGAGATTCCTGCGGTACAGATGACTCTTCTGCAAGCAAGATCGGAGATAATTGAGATAGCAGAGCATAAGTAGATGACGCCGTTGGAACTAGCAAAAGTTGTGAACAAGAGCCTACAAAAACCGGCAGCCACTACACCGCCACACCAATGACGCCACAATTTCTGTCTGGAAAAAGTGCCCCGCGATCACTTTTCACCCCTCCTCGTGCGCTTTTCGGCTGGAAATCTGAACCCCCGCCAATTATCCTGCTTGCAGTGAGTCAACAGAGAAAATACTCGACGGTATTCTCTCTGCGCAAGTGAGTCAAAAGGGAGCAGAGTTGTGGGAAGGAAACATAAAGAGAGCCAATCCTCCCCGGGCTGTTCTTCTGATCCTCAAGATTTTTTCTTTTTTTTTTTTCTTTGTCAGCGACCAAGAATTGCAAACATGTCGACGAACTCGGCGTCAAAGGCCTTGGAGGCCCTGACAATCTCCAAGACCAAGGAATTGAAAGGAGTATGCGAAGAATATCTTGAGTGTATATTATTGCTTTAATCGCATCTACTAACACCTACCAGACCGAGAAGCGCGATTCCCTGATCGTCATCGAGAAGAAGTACCAGCAAAAATGGCAGGAGGATCGCGTTTTCGAGACGAATGCCCCAACGACAACCGAAGTGCCCTTCCACTCCATCTCGCCCGCTGAGCTGCGAGAGAAGCAGCCCAAATTCTTCGGTACTATGGCCTATCCCTACATGAACGGCACCCTCCACGCCGGCCACACCTTCTCAGCCACCAAGGTCGAGTTTGCCGCGGGCACGGCTAGAATGCAGGGCAAGCGCGCGCTGTTCCCCATGGGCTTCCACTGCACCGGTATGCCTATCAAGGCCTGTGCGGATAAGCTGGTCAACGAGATCAAGCTGTTCGGCGAGGACTTCTCCGGATATAAGGAGGAGGAGGAGCCTGTTGTTGAGGAGAAGCCCAAGCCTGCTGCTAAGCAGACCAAGGAAGATGTCACCAAGTTCACGACCAACAAGAGCAAGGCCAACGCGAAGACCGTCAAGATGAAGTACCAGTTCCAGATCATGCAGGCCATTGGAATCCCCACCGAGGAGATTCACAAGTTCGCTGATTCCCAGTACTGGCTGAAGTACTTCCCTCCCCTGGCCATCAGAGATCTGACTAGCTTCGGTGCGAGAATCGATTGGCGACGATCATTCGTTACAACCGATGCCAACCCTTACTACGATGCCTTTGTGCGCTGGCAGATGAACCGACTGAAGGAGCTGAACAAAATCAAGTTTGGCAAGCGATATACCATCTACTCTATCAAGGATGGCCAGCCCTGCATGGACCACGATCGTGCTGAAGGAGAGGCAGTCAACCCTCAGGAGTACACTGCCTTGAAGCTGAAGGTTCTAGAGTGGGCTCCCAAGGCCGCTGAGGCCATCAAGGGCAAGATCCCCGAGGGCGCCAATGTTTTCCTGGTCCCTGCCACCCTGAGACCGGAGACCATGTACGGACAGACCTGCTGTTTTGTCGGCCCCAAGTTGACCTACGGCCTGTTCAAGGTTGATGAGAACAACTACTTTGTCATCACTGAGCGAGCTGCTCGCAACATGGCCTACCAGGGCATTTTCGCCAAGGAGGGCTCCATCGAGAAGGCTGCCGACATCCTGGGCTCCGACATTGTTGGAACCTTGGTCAACGCCCCTCTGTCTCTGCACAAGGAGGGTGTCCGAGTCTTGCCCATGGAGACTGTTCTGCCTACAAAGGGTACCGGTGTCGTCACCTCTGTCCCGTCAGACAGCCCCGACGATTTCGCTACCGTGACCGAACTGGCCAAGAAGGCTGATTACTATGGAATCCAGAAGGAGTGGGCAGAGCTGGAGATTTTCCCCATCATCGAGACCCCGTCTTATGGCGACCTGTGCGCACCTTTCCTGGTGAAGAAGCTGAAGATTGCGTCGCCCAAGGACACCAAGCAGCTGGAGGAGGCCAAGGAGCTGGCTTACAAGGAAGGATTCTATCAGGGTATCCTGAAGGTTGGCGATTTCAAGGGCGAGAAGGTCGAGATTGCCAAGCCCAAGGTCAGGAGTCAGTTGATCGAGGCTGGCGAGGCCTTTGCCTACTCAGAGCCCGAGCGCAAGGTCGTCAGCCGATCTGGCGATGACTGCATCGTCTCGCTGATGGATCAATGGTACCTGGACTACGGCGAGCAGTCTTGGAGGGAGACTGCCCTGAAGTGGGTTGACAACGTGGACGGTAAGGGTCTGGAGACTTGGGCTCTCGAGACCAAGAATGGCTTTGAGGGCGTGCTGAACTGGCTGAACCAGTGGGCTTGTGCTCGATCGTTCGGTCTGGGATCAAAATTGCCTTGGGATCCTCAGTTCCTGGTCGAGAGTCTGAGTGACTCTACCATCTACATGGCTTACTACACTGTTGCTCACTACCTGCACAAGGACCTGTTCGGCCGCACCAAGGGCCTTGGTAACATTGGCGCCGAGCAGATGACTGATGAGGTTTGGGACTCGATCTTCTGCCGCCGCGACCTGTCGGACGAGGTGGTTGCCAGCTCCGGCATCCCTCGCGAGACTCTGGAGAGCATGCGACGAGAGTTTGAATACTTTTACCCTCTGGACCTGCGAAGCTCTGGCAAGGATCTGATCCCTAACCACTTGACCTTCTTCCTGTACATCCACCTGGCCATCTTCCCGCCCGAGTACTGGCCTCGCGGTGTACGAGCCAACGGCCACTTGATGCTGAACGGTGAAAAGATGGCCAAGAGCACTGGTAACTTCATGACCCTGAAGGACATGGTGGAGAAGTACGGTGCTGATGCCTCTCGTATCGCTCTGGCTGATGCTGGTGATGGTGTCACCGATGCCAACTTTGAGGAAGATGTTGCCGACAACAACATCCTGCGTCTGTTCACCCTGCGTGAGTGGTGCGAGGAGATGGTCAAGGACCAGAATGAGCTGCGTACTGGCGAGATCAACAACTTCCAGGACGGTCTGTTCAACAACGAGCTGAACGCCTGCGCCAAGGAGGCCATCGAGCAGTACAAGCTGACCAACTACAAGCTGGCCCTAAAGGCCGCTCTGTACGAGCTGACCAGTGCCCGTGACTTCTACCGCGAGGCTTGCGCGGCTGGCGGCATCAAGATGCACAAGGACTTGGTCTTCAGATACATTGAGCTGCAGGCTCTGTTGATGGCCGTCATCGCCCCCCACTGGTCCGAGTACATTTGGCTGGAGGTCCTGAAGAAGGACTCCACCATCCACAATGCCCGATTCCCTGAGGTGCCCGCAGTCGACGCCGCCTTGTCAGCCAAGCGCGAGTACGTCCGAAACACCGCTTCCAACATCAACTCCGCCGAGGGCCAGCAGCTGAAGAAGAAGGCCAAGGGCAAGGAGCTGACGTTCGACCCCAAGAAGCCCAAGAAGCTGACCATCTACATGGCGGCCAAGTTCCCAGCCTGGCAGGCCAAGTACATTGACCTTCTGAAGGAGCTGTGGGATCCCGCGGCCAAGTCTGTCGATGACAAGGCTCTGAACGGCCGCATCGCCAAGATGGGCGAGATGAAGAAGGCTATGCCCTTCGTGCAGAGCCTGAAGAAGCGCCTGCAGGCCGGCGAGCCTGCCACCGTTGTCTTGGAGCAGAAGCTGGCGTTTGATGAGAAGGAGACGCTGAGCCAGATGCTGGCCGGCCTGAAGCGAACTTCGGGCCTGTCGGTCCTCGATGTCCTGGTGGTTGAGGAGGGCGGCAAGAAGGGCGTTCAGTTGGAAGACGGTAAGGAGGTGGAGATATCCGTGCCCGTTGCCGAGAATGCGGTCCCTGGCCAGCCCACGTTCTTCTTCGAGAACGTCGAGGCTTGATTCTAGGAGCGTTTCGCGCTTTGGAGAATTTGTTTCGGGAATTTTTTTGTTTGTTCATGAAGAAAGAAATAAAGTAACAAGCAAAATTGTTAGAGAGAATGAGACTGTAAGTGACAGTTTAGAGAGACAATAGATTGTTTCACGGTTCTCGTTTCCGGTCTGCGTTTCTTTGTTTCACGCGTCTATTGTGACGGGGAAGACATGTTTCTAAAACAACGTCAAGCTTACAAACAGTTGTGCTAGCCGCGGCGCATTTTACCCCCGTAGGATATTGAAGAGAAGTCTCACGAAATACGCAACCTGCATCAGTTCGACTAATCAACTCACCTCAACGACAACTCCGTTCTCGCACTCAATAACTGACGGTAAGCCTAGAAACCTCCCTCCCCCCCAAAAAAACTATTGGATCGGCTTCTG